TTATCTTTTAACTTCGCAAAACATTTCTTTAATAAAAATTATATACATGTAAAAAAGAAGAAAATGTACTCTCGTTCAGTAAAAACCAGAGGCATGTACTCTCAGCCAAGAAGGAGCAACTACAACCAGGTCAACAATGAAAAACACCATCTATTCATTCCCTCCATCGCCCCTAAAGTTTACAAAACGGAAGAGAACTCTTTCAGCATTCCTAAATGGAGGGCATGTTTGCTGGCACAAAGAACAGGAGACCCCCCCCCTTTGTCTTTCATGCTGCAACATTTTGTCCCAAGAGCCATTCATAGTCAGTCATGACATGAAAGCTGCTTCACCTCTGGGCAAGGGCAATCTTAAGTTTGTCATTTTCCATTTTTAGCTGTGCATCTGCAGAACCACCGTGTGATGCTTTTTCATCGTCTGTTCCATTCACACTGGATGCTCGGGTAGAACACGGAGTTTCACGCCCTGATTCCTGCACAATAGATTTCAAGAGGGCAAGAAGAACAATCATAACCAAGGCATTAATTTCTTGACATGTTAGGACATGTCCAATATCTCTGCAATCATCTGAGTGAGCCAGGGCCAACCATCAAGCTTCACGCCCCCCCGCCCAATAATTCCAGATATCTTGGGTATGTAATTCAAAGAACATGTTTTACACTCATGGATTTCAAAGTTTCACTCAGAGTTGATGCAATACGTTCAAGAAATAATTTTGTCAATGCAAACCGACCCCTCAGCAAAATCAGGGGTTGTATTCATATCAATTCAGCACCCAAGAGAAAGAGTGACAATTTAAAAAAATCCTTGTACATAAAGAAACATAAATGACAAAGCAGGAGAAGGCAAAGTTGAAACTCTTTCTCATGGGATGTTAACTTTTTTAATACGGGGGAGAGTTAATTCTGAGGTAGGAGGATTAAAACAGTTAAATGTGATCCCCTATTTGTAGTCAAAAGGAACCATTTCGTTCCTGTGATTTTTAAATAATTTGTAGGCTCACCTTCAGTTCAGACAAGCAATTATTACATAAGCGAATAGTCAATGGCTGCATTCACAAACAGAGCAGTAAGGATTTTCTGCCGTTTGGCTGATCCTTCACTTTGTCCAACATCAAAATCCAGATCCATGATGAAAAGAAATAATGGCTTACCCCAATGTTTGAACTCAGCTAATCTACGGGAAATCATTTTTTCTTTGCCAGTGCTTGTTTTAAGTTATTAAAGTTTATTTTAAGATCCTAAAGCTTGCAGTCAAAAACCAATCTTGCCTTTTGCAAGCCCGACGTTGCAAATCAGTCATTCCCCTGTCCTTGAACAGAGAGCAGATCATGACTTACTTGGGAATGGTTACTGGAAGTTTCCATTTTTTCTTGCGACCGGTCTCGGGCCAGACAAGCAGCTTCTTTCACCTCCTGAAACTTCTCAGCAAACTAAATGAGAACACAAGGATCAAAACATGAGCTTAATTTTTGGATTCTAGAACTATGGAAGGGAAGAATGCATTTTGTGTTATGTCCTGGTGCCACAGGCAGCTGGTCACTGACTGCAATAGGCGTACGCAGACATCAGACTTAAGTAGACATATTAGCTTGCTCCAATTTATTCAGAATTTATCTACATAAATAGGAAAGGGTTGAGAAAGAATAACATACTCAGCCATTGAAAAAAGGTAGATAAATGCACTTTCTGTTTCTATATAACAAAAGGTCCTAAGGCACCTTAAAGTCTAACTATTTTAATCTAGCATTTGCTAGCGTTTAAGAATGCACCCAACAGACTAATCCATCATTCAGTTGTTGCTTAGCATGGGGCTTGCAAACCATGGTTTGTGGCTTATTATATGCAAATATAGCTGTGGTGCCAAATGGAAGTCCCAGAACCACACCTCCAGTTGTATTCTAATGCAGGGTTCCTCAACCTCAGCAACTTTAAGATGGGTGGACTTCAACTCCCAGAATTCAACAAAACCTGATTCTCCCCACCCTCCCAAAACCTATAATCCATGCAGCTCATTCCCACCCATCCTCATCTTCTTTTCAGTGGCAGGCACTTTGCAAGGAGCAACCCCCACCCCATGAATGAAAGCAGCACCTTTGCTTCTACCCCAGAGGACTGCAGAATACCTTCTTTTGCCATAAGATTTTATACCAATGAGTGCAAAGTTGCAAATGGTGCCAAACGGAAGTCCCAGAACCACACCTCCAGTTGTATTCTAATGCAGGGTTCCTCAACCTCAGCAACTTTAAGATGGGTGGACTTCAACATGGCTGGCTGGGGAATTCTGGGAGTTGAAGTCCACCCATCTT